GTCTTTGTATTCCATTATTCATTATCTACATGTACCGTCAGAAGATAAAACAACTTCTTAAGTGTTATAATATATATTTCAGACATTTCATTTCGCCCTTTCTGTTTCCTAGGATTCACATCTCAAGAAGGTAAAAACAATCCGACAGAAATACTGAATTCACAGGGTAAGTAATTCTGTATAGGTATTCAATTTAATATAACCATATCAACAACTTGGGTTGTGCTTGTAAAATCACAGTCATTAGATAAACGAAGCACTGCTTTTTCTTTAGAAATCTGTATACTTTGTGTCAAAGCCTTTTTATTTAAAAAGAACGTAAAATCCCACGGATTAATGTTCCAAATTCCTCGATTAAAAATAAAAATTTCATTCATCACTATTAGACGTAAAATGTGATTTTGCATTTCCGGGAAATTTCAATACATTGAATGTGTTTTAAACATTGCTTGTCTTGAAATGCTGATCAGTAACTAAGCGTTTTATTTTTATATGATTTAATTTAGTTCACGAAGCTTCAAAAAAAGTTAGGCAGTCATTCGTATCTTTTTTTTTCTGTCATGACATAGTTTTGTAACACTCATCAGTCAATGTGCTTCATATTTTCATATGAATTCATCTATTAGCTGTAATCTTGAATATGAAGGATATCTTCAATAAAGTTAGGTTGTTGTTCATATTTTTCTTTTTAACTTTTTTATATAGATATATTGTGGATTATAATTGCCGCCGTTGTTGTATTGGTTCTGGTAGTCGTTGGCTGTATCATGTTGGCGATAGTGTGCAGAGGGAAAAGGTAGTCTTTGAAAATTACTTATTTCTGATTTGTCATTTTCAGGTTTTTTTAGACCTGTAAGTTGGATACATTGTAAAACATAAAACAATGAGGGACAGCAAGCACTTTTGTCGTCTTTTGAGTAGAAAGACACACACAACACCGTACACTGCAAACTACGAAAGATATTTTGTCGCGTCCTTTGGAAATCCATTTACAATTCAAAGCTTTTTTACAACTATAATACATGATTCATTTTGGCTATTGATTATACAATGTATTTCTTTATTGAACAAAATCAGGAAGAAGAAGAACCAGACAGAGGATGAACACAAACTGTTTCACCTGAGCAGTAAGTCCATCGGGAGCAATATGTCTGAAGAACGCTCCAGTTCCAGACAAGACAGCGTTGACAGTGCCTTCTCCTCTCAAACCAGCATTGACAGCGAAACATCGGATGGGTATACGACCTTGGCGGGAAAGTCTCGAGAGGCGATACAGATGGAAGAACTAGAGCACTACGACAGTGGGGACTATAGAAACTCAGCAGCACGAGACCCAAGAAAACCAGGTTGTACTGAACAGGGCCGCCAGGAGAAAACCTATGTGCCTGGGAAAATACGCTACAATCGCCACCGTTATGGAGGAAATCATGACACCTCTTCCTCGTCACGTCCTAACCGTTATGGCCGTACTCAACCCTCAGGGCCCAGCAGGTACCCGCCAGAGGTTGAGGCACAGGGAGACCGTCACCCAGTTCAGAAGGGGAATCCAAGGTACTCGCGCCACGTAGACCCGCCCTCATATCACGGGAGACAAATAATGGATCAATATAATTGGTAAAATAAGGCTCGCACTAGGCCACCGTCAAAAAGATTTTTTGACATTTGAATAGTAGGTATTATTTCTTCAAATGAAGGGCGACAAGGTTTTGAAATTGTTTTGTAAATGTCAGTTGTTTAGAAAATGGCTAATTTTTAAGCTAGGATAAAGCGAAGGTGTCTTGTAATCGTTAAGCATAATAAACAGTAGCGCGTTTGAAATATATGTACTCCATTAATCGTTAAATTAGATCATGCACTGAGTCATAATACGTGAGAAAGTAGTCACAATTGTTAGATGCTGCGATATGGGGACACGTCTTTTCTACAGTAAGGTGCATACATCTTCATCTGTAATTTTTACTTTAAATATTACTAACTTGAAGGGAAAATTACTGTAAAGTAATCTTAATAAATGGATAATTTGAATCCCGAATTGCGCTGAAGATAGTGTCTAGGGTTTCATTTCCAGGTTTGTTTATTGAAAAACGACCCTGGCAACGAGAAGTAAGTGTAGTTCTTCAAAACCGATCCTTTGCAACCAGAAGTTAGTGTAGTTCTTCAAAAACGAACCTGCCAACCAGAACTTATAGTGTAGGTCTTCAAAAACGATCCTGGCAATCTGAAGTTAGTGTAGTTCTTCAAAAACAAACCTGGCAACCAGAAGTTAGTGTAGTTCTTCAAAAACAAACCTGGCAACCAGAACTTATAGTGTAGGTCTTCAAAAACAAACCTGGCAACCAGAAGTTAGTGTAGTTCTTCTAAAAACGCTCATGGCAACTGATTCTAGACATTAACTTTGGGGCACTTGAGTTGCTTTAGTTTGCCTGCCTTTCAGTGCAATAGCGAGTTGTTTCCATTTTTATATATAATATTAATATTTAAAGTAAATATAGAGCAAATTGAAAAAAACATTTTATATCAATCTTTTAATTTTTGTATATATACAATTTCAGAACGACGTAACAGGGATTTGTGAGACATAAGAAAATACAAGATATTTGATTATATAACAGGAGGCTTTGAACCTAGGAAAAATGGCATTGATTCTTTTTTTAACCTACATGTACTACGTACATCCATTATACTGTATCTGCAATTGATTTTTATACCTAATATAACATAGTTTTTACTTTTTGTATACATTCAATATTGAACATGTGAAGGTAGGTAGGTGTGTCTTATTAATCAATATAAGGATTCTTTTAAATAGTTAACAAACACAAGGGATAGAATAGTATTTTTATTTAACACTCTGAAATTATAATAAAACACTGCATTTAATGCAAAAAAATAGAACAATGTACTCATTTCTAGAACAGTGACAGGATACAAACTCTATTCACTGGACGTATTCCACAGTATTTTCCTTCTTTCCAATTCTGTTTTTGGCAATCAAAAGGTTCAACAAGATTTGCTGCCGCTGCCTCCCCCCCCTCCCCCAATTCTCCGAGGGGTGGAAAATATAAGTATGGGCTACAAGATATTGTGTTTGGGGGGGGGGGGGGGGGGGCAGAATTCTGTGAAATGACCACCTTCAATTAAAACAAAAGTAGCTTTGGTACAGTTCACAATGACAGACTCCTGTCTCCAACATATTACAATATCTTAACTCTTACTGCTCTGCACTTCAAAGTGTTTTTTTTTTCTTAATTACAAGAATCCTAACAGCAGTTGAGCAATACGTGTACAATACTGGGCGTGCTGAGAGGAAAAATCACAGCGGTGATGCATGTCTTCATTGTCGGTCTTATACTTTCTTGAGCAAGTGATTTTCTTTAAAACCTTTAGCCTACTTATATAAAATGTCTATTAGTAGCTAAAAGGTGGGTCTTAATTTGCAGAAACTGTTGGGTAAAAATAATCTTAAGCAATTGAAAACAAATGCAGTATTACCACTCAATAGGTGATTCAAAGACTTTTTCAGAAGGTACAACAACAAAGCAAAAGCCTTCAAAAAGTAAATAATCATTCAAAACTGTGACAAACATTCAATTATGCTCTAAATAAAATTCCATAGCAGATATTATTGCTTACAATTTTCTCAATTTAAATGTGTAAAGATTGAAAAATTAAAGAAAAAAAAAAACATTTTGCATCATTCAAAAAACTGATTGTCAATTCATTACAGAGTTCAACTTTGTACAACACTATTAAGACTGGTGCACATATAACTTTCTATATAAAATCCCAATGTCAGATCTCTCTCAAATTACAGATGAGGACGGATTTGTTTTCCAGAGACAAAAGTGTAAAGCAGGACTATCATACAATGTATGTGCTTTCATGAGACTCTCCTCACAATACAGTTTAATAAGTCTTCCAGTGGACTAACTAGTCCTAGGGTCAAATATGGTGACCCACTACAAAGCTTGCCGTCTAATCCGCTAATAGACACTGAATAGATATCCCAAGGGGAAGTATTCAAGTGGATTGGCCATATTTGACCCACGGACTAGTTAGCCCACTGTTCTGAATTGGGCCAAACAATGTCAACCTATTAAATCGTCATCAAGAGCCCCACTGCCAACATTATCACCACTATTTACTGTCAGAAGACAAATACTGATGCTCCATCTGACCTGGGCCCTATCTTCACTGATTATATCCGACGAGAAATGGATATGTTATCCATGTTACCTAGCAACCCCTACATTCCCACATACTATGGTGGTGATATGAGATTCCAGATTAGCTTGGATATTGAACAGAACATTCAGTTATTACTGGGTTATCTTTTTCTATAATGGCATTAAAAGGTTGGCTTCAACAACATTGGTTACATTTTTTTTTTGCATAAAAAAAAAAATTGAATCAAATAATGATATTATCAATAATTAATTAATCAATGGCAGATTTTGTGATATGTCTCTGTTCATTAGATGCTAATGCAATAGGTTTGTCTAGAAAGATGGATTTCAGTTATTGCCTTAGGAACCAGATTTTCAGGATGCACTAATATAAGTTATTTTCAACTAAAGAACCAGTACTTCCAACTCCTTCACACTTTCTTAATATGTAATACTTAAAGTAACGACAACTAATGAAGCTCTGGCAAATATCTGTAGTACAAATATCCATTACTATGTATTTTGTGCTTAAAACAATAATAATAATAATTTTCATAGTTACAACATAAAATATTGCAGCATCAATTGTAATCATTGTAATATCTGCTAATCGTTTTGAGCAATTAATCACAGTTATTGTTACAATACAATCTCAGAAGTAACAATGCTAGTACTCAGCTTGTCTACCATAGAACTACAAGGTGACATATGTGATGCCAGTATAGGTATCAACAGAGTCAGTACACTGGGAACTTCTACATTAGTAAATTACAGTGAAACTGATACAAAATTTCCACTGGAATACACCATATATGTGGATCCACAATGACACTGGCTGAAGATAAAGATGTAGAAGAGAGAGAGAGAGAGAGGGGGGGGGGTATACCCCAATAGGTGTGGTCTCTCCTAAACCACAAGCTTAAGGGAAATAATAAAAGTTTCCTTTTGTTGGTGAAAAGAGAGGAGAGCCAAGGTGCTTATTTGCCACTCAGTGACAGGAAATTCCCTCATAATTTGCAATACCTAGACAGTATTGCTGAGATACATGTATATGTATAAATACCTCACCAAAGTAGGGAAGTAACATGGGTTTTGTGGCATAGAAATCTATCAGGGAGTTGAGCAAAGTTCCCCAAATACTCCTGAGTTGATGCTGCTCAGTCATGGGCATGGTATCAGAAATTTCTGTAAAACTGTAAAATCTCGAGCAATATGGCATGAAACTGCATACTGTGCATGAAGCCTTAAGCAGCTGTGACACTTATCATACTACACATATCACTGCATACACAATAACATTACACAATAATAAAATTCAATAAAAATATGCAGCTTATTTACTGGGGTATACTTAATTTTCATTAGATATTTTGATATCAAAAGGTTTTTTTGCCTTTCTTTCATTCTTGAAAAGCCATATCTCCACTCTAAAACCATACCAGGTACTAGTATATTTTCATAATACGTTTTGATTTTTAAAATATATCAACCATGAATGGAAAGCGACTTCCCAGATTGCAGATATAACAAAAAACACTCCCCCTTAACATTTTGACATCAGAGCTGTTTGTTTGTTTGTGTTTAATTCCCTAATCTTGGACGCTCATGTCTCCAGAGCCCAGATCCTCCCCTCCTATGATGATCAGACCCCGGGGGTGGCTCTCCGAACTCAGCGTCAGACTCCGCCTTTGCATAGGGCTTGTTGTGCCAAAAGTGTTTTTGTACCTGGAAGAGAAGAGCAGAAAAAGCTATCATAATCCTTAGAAATGACTTCCAACAGAAGAGTTAGGAACCAAGAATAAAACATTTTTTTTTTCAATCAACAGCTATAGCATTGAAATTCTTGTTAACCTCCAATATCGTGATAACAAAGCTGCTCTTCAGATGGATATAGAAATAGAAAGACAACAATTCCAATTAGATCTGTTGATTAAACAAAAAAATAAATGCTTTATTCTTATCATAATCTTGAGATAATATTGCCAACTTGTTCAAAGTTTTCAGAGTTAAAATGCATGTCATGTTATGAAGTCAGTGAGTAGTAGTGGTTTCTACCAGTAGCATATCGTGACTGGTTTTAGAAATTAAGTGATATTAAGATTTGACAGTCAAACTCTATAGGTGGGATAAAAGTGACTGACTGGTCAATTTTGCAAAGGGGACTTACGTGTTTTATATTCGCTATGTCTACCAATTGCAATTAAATCAAACTATAAAATGAAATTACACCAGTAGTATGAATTCACAATCTTTAAGCTACGATGCTATGCACGTAAAACTTCAAAACAGCAAGAACTGTTTTTAAAATTTTAAAACTATGAACAATTACATGCAGTTGTCATTAAATTAAAACACAACA